GCTAAATTGCAGCTGTTAAACTCGAAACGGCTCTTCGGCTAACAAGTATTTGTCGCCACTTGACCCGTTTCACTTTGCTAAAATTGACTTTCGCGACTCGGGCTCTAGCTTTTATTTGTCAGTAAAACTTCGATGCTCCGTAACGAAATTCTCTTCGATTCCATACATTTTGGGTAACTCACAATCGGGACCGATTTGGTTCAGTGGCGTGGCAAAAGTATTCCGTTCGGTGTTACGGTTTTTCTTATCTCAGTACCGTTGCATTGCGTTGTAGCGAATATTGTTTTCTAAAATGCCAATTGGTCCGTTTACGTTGGAAATTTTGTTTATATTTTGTATGGTGCAATCAAACCTCGCTTATACAAACGACGACAGGGTGGACCGCACATAATAATTATGCGGTTTTCATGGTTTGGCGTCCCAAAATCGATGGAATCAAAATTTTCCAAAGTATAAGCGCAGTTAAAAAGAGGCAACAATGGCAGAACCGATCAACCGATGGCAACTAGTAAATATTTTGTGTGAATAGTACGAAATCTAGTAATCCGATAATCTGTTATTATTTTTAATTTGTTAAATTGTGATTCTTTCGTTCCGGTCGTGGAAAAAGTATAGTATAAATTACTAAATAATAAACTATTTCTATTGTGAAAATTCTATGACGGCGAAACATGGCGAAAAAAATAATTCGAGCAAAAATATCAATGTTTTTAATCCTAACTGTCCTAAAATTTTGAAAGCTTTCTGTTTTTGTTTAACACTGTTTCGTGGAGGTTTTTGTCCATTTGTTCCTATGTTTCAGCAAATGTGATAATGTTTTTGATAAAAAAATTCTATTCGTAGAAATTAAACCTATTTGAGTAAGTTTTGTATTAATAATTTAATTACCGCGCGTGGTTTATAATATTTACAAAAAATGGTCAACCGACAGTAAATAGTAGGGCCCCCTTCTGTATAACATTCTTACAATGGATCGTTGTATCTGCTAATATCTGGAAATCTATATCTTTTTGAAATAGGCAACCCGAGGCAACGAGATCCTTTTTTAAATTATTTTATACTATAAAATTTGAAAAAAAGGCTTAATATTTTTTACATTTAAATTTTCGATGTCTTTTTTCTATTACCCTGTACTTATTTATTTTTAAAATATCAACACAGACCACTAGACATTTTTGGGATCCTTGGTTAAAATAAAGGTCACTTTCTCCAGAAATTTCTACTCGAATTTTGGAGTAAATCATGTCTTCCAAACTGCCATTATTGCAATTTTGATTTCTCGATTGAATGTTTTACAATTGTGATGTTCAAGTTTCAACTTTTCCGTAAAATTTTAGAGATATGTCAAGTAGAGTGTTAAGTAATATGATAATAGTTTTTTTTTGCGAAATTAGCCGCTAATTGCCTTATGCCACTTTCCTTAGGATAATAGACCAGATCATGCTCACTTATCCGGATTCGCGACTTTAAAGCGCAAAAGGTTTCATGGTTATCAAGCGTTTAAAGTTCGTACACTTCTCCGGTTATTGATTTATCATCCGATCGTTCCCGTTAAATCTAACCGACAAAAGGGGTTTTGATGCGGAATACTCAGAAGTTAATTAATTTTCAATTACGAAACATCGTCAGGGCATAAAATATTTATTAAGCTTTCAGGCAGGCCGTTAATGATACTTAAGGAATGACTATTTCGGTCATTTTTTTCGAACAGCCGAATGTTTTTTTGATTGATTAATTGTTGACTCGCACGGCATTTCGTATGGTTGGAGGGGTGGGGGGCATTCTTTGCGTGTCATTTTTAGGCTGTTCACAACTATAAGATAGTTTTAGATTTAGTGGGTTATGAATTGTGGTATGCATATTAAAAAACTGCGTCATACTAGTTTTTCGAGATCAGTTATTTTTTCGTCAAGACGCTTACTATGGCCATTTCAAGTGATCCCATTGCTTAGTTTGATTATTGTTTGTTAGTCTTCGAGGCTGTATTCCAATAAGAACAATCACGTACCACATTAGAGAAACGAATGATTCTAGAAATTAAAAAAAAAAACGTTAAATAAACCGGCCAAGAGTAAATGCTGGAAATTTTCGTGTCGCTGAGATGGTCACCCGAAGACTTATTGCCAACTCGTTTTTTCAAAAATTTCTGATGCATTATTTAAAGTGCTTTTTTAATACTGCTTTTAAGTACCTCTCCTTTATTATAAAATAAAATTTGAGATATGCATTTATTTTATTTGAATGAAAAATCTGGGTTCCAATACAATAATTTTTGACAGATCTTTGTCAGGGTCTTGTGCAGCAGCTAATGCTGCGTTGATTCAAGATAGAAGAAGCGATTGATATGTTGCCCTACGTTGTCCTCCCGTGTCAAGTAGCCCCGTGCACCGTATTTATGCACGTCTGGTCCCCAATGATGAACTAACGGTTATGATGATCACTGTATCATTTTCGTCAATTGTAGGAATAACAATCTTAGAACACAACGTAAGCGAAAGAACTAAGAACATCGAAAAGAATTGGTGAGATTTATGCTGCGAGAGGTATTGCAAAGACCACAATAACGTTTTGCAGAATGCATCTTCAATTCTACGGTCGGTTACTATGGGGGTTCAATTATAGTGTCTTCTGGAATTTCTCTGGTGGCATCAGAGAGTTCTACATCGTTTCAATAGGCTGTCTAACTGCTGTACATTGAATAACTTCTGTTGCCCTTGGATTGATTATATTGGAGATAATTTTATTCTGACGCGTGATAATGCCAGACCCCACACGGCAAAAATTACTCAACAATTTTCATTCCCATTTTGGAGTGACCGGCGTTAAGTCCAGATGCGAACTCAATTGAAATGATTCGGATATGCTTCGGCGAAGAATAGGAGGTCGTGCTCCTGCCTAACTTTAAATCAATTGCAACAAGTTCTGTTAGAGCAATGAGGCCTGAGACTTGAAGAAGACATGCAGGTATATTTCGTTCATGTTTTTGTAAGGAATACGTTTCAATTTTCATTAATTTTAATTAATTTAATTTTTGTTTTTTCGTATTTTTGTAATAAAAGAGTTTTCCCTTAAAATTTGTACGGTTAAATATTTGTGTGTTTTTGTGCTTATCATATATATCACGATTTCGCACCTCTGCTGAATTAGGAATAATAATAATAATAATAATATTAATGATAATAATAATAATAATAATAATAATAATAATAATAATATTAATAATAATAATAATTGCAATTACAATTACTGTTACTGCAATTATTAATTTTGGAGAATCCCAATATTGATGTTGAAAATGTTTAAATTTAATTAAACTCATAGACCATCTCTATCTTTTTGTATTGGATAGGTTGTTTGACTTTAGTTTGTTTATAATGTAATAAAATGTAATTATATAGTAATATTATAATTATATATAATATACTGGATTTTTCATTAACATATAAATTAAAGTTCAATTAATTGAATGCCAACGTTTGAAAATTCAAAAAATAAATACCTTGGCGCCTCTCCTTTTTAAAGGACACCGTTGGCGGACATCTTTTTGGTCAAAAACGATATTAAAATAATTTTCAAAGATTTCGAAATCTCTCTCACGTTGTTTTCTCGTAACTCCGCTCGTCAAGCTCAAAGTGCTCCTCATTCCCCTAATCGATTTGGGTATTTTTAAATCGCGATGAAATACCGAGATTTCAAGGGTCGCCCGAAATTAATTGCCTTTACGATTAGACGAGATAAACGATCCCAATACGTCCGAAATCAAAAACGTTACTTCCTATCGAAAACCGAAAAAGCGTCGTCGTACGATTTTTCCCGATCGTTATTTAACGTAACAAATGCTTGTCCGGCCCGGCCCGTTCTCCCAAAATAAAAATCAGAACACAAAAGGATAAGGCCCGCTTTGTTTGAGCCCGCGGACGTTCGAAACAGCCCCTAAAAAAGATGTATTACACCGTTAATCCCACCCCGTGTTGCCGGGCCAAAGACAAAAAGTGCTCATTTGTTTTTTAACTGCCGAACATTATCCGCGAAAAAAGTGCAGTATTGATTTTTAATTCCCGGTTATTTGCGCTGGGGTTTGAGCCAGTGACGGCGATGCGTTTCTGCTTTATGCATTCCACAAATTCCAATAGTTTTGCCAATATTTGGATAAATATTTTTTCATATAGAAATATTTCAACATATTTCCTCATATTACCCAAATATTTTCCCCTATTTACTCGGATTACCCAATATTTGATCGTATTTCCCAATATTTTCTTCGTATTTCCGCCGAGAAAGGTAAGTATTTCCTAGGTGGTTTCACCTCGGCATTGTCATACATAAGGCAATGTACCTAACCTTAAATTTCATACACTTATCTGCACTTTGCGTCATTTTCATTCTTTCAAACTGAAAACTATCGAATTGCCGAACTATCAACGTTGTTATTGATGAACCCGTCAATTTCTTGGTTGAAATTTAAGATTTCAAATGACAAGTCTCAATGTGTAGTTTTAAAATGACTTGAACATGGGCATACTGAATGTCTCTTTTCGACATTGTTTTATATTGGCTTCATTATTATCAGTTTATCAGCATAGACAAGGCAATTTGTACCTGCTAGTTGGTAAGGCTAAACCTGTAGCTAACACTAGCACAATTTAAATTATATTGAGTATGCTAAATAATTCAAAGAATTGAATATTGACCGTCTGATTAGTGATTGCTCACTCAAGCACTTGAACAGAGTAGCTAAGAACTAGAATTCGCTTAAAATCAGCAAAATTAGCAAAATAATTTAGATCACAAAAAAAAACAATTAAAACTATTGGTGTTTGTTAGTTTAGTGATATCCAAGTACGTAATTTACTGTACGTCTATGTGTATATTATACAAATTTATTAGGGATTCTTAAAAAAATAATAAAATAAAATAAAAATATGCATTTTGTTGTTATGTAAACCATTATAAATTATATATAAAGACAAATAAAGAATCTATTAGATTGAAGCAATTAATCTTGTTTATTCGATATGTTTGGTTATTAGTGTAGGCCTAAGGACTCTCTTATCTCTAAGACCGGTAATAAATTTCATGGTTTGTGCGGTGTTGGTATATTTTGCTTTCCTGCTCTGTGTATATTTTTCCTTCATCTCGTGCGTTTGGGTGTGATGCGAGGATTCGAATTGGTTCTTGGCGGTTTCCGTCGAAACTGTTCTCGAATTTATCACATTCGCCTGAAACAAAATACAAATCGCTTTAAAGAGTAAATCGAATCACCTCTTTTTATAATATTTTAAATTAAGTGTGTATAAAGAATTCTTTTCGACTTTTTTTTTTGCGTTTTAGAATCTTCATGAAGAAATTTATAATAATATGATAATAGTAATAATAATGCATGCCGCGTTTTATAAACTGTTTACCGCCCTCATCCATTATAAGATATATACCCACTGTGAGGTAGATAATTTAATCCACATAGATCAAAAAAGTGGTATCAACGGGACCCAAGGATGATGTAAAAAACTCACTATCAACTCGACTTTTATTAAGCATGCTGACTCGATACCATACGATTAGCTATTAAAGACTTTGGAGATCTAGAAAGTGCGCCCTAATGCAGTCCTTTTACTCGCACACGTGATGAAATATTCTAGGGGGAATTCTCTTAGCCCCCTGCTGTTCTGTTTGGATTTATCTATCTATCTATCTATCCCCTGGCCTCCCCCCTTAACCAAACCCAAAAAGGGTACCAACTGAGGCACCAACACTCGTCTATAAACCACCTCCTGTTTGTGGATTATATGAATGCTGCAACTCAATGCAGCTGAAATCACTACAAAATATAGTAACGAACTTTATAGCTCTGATATTGAAATATCATTTGGGCTGGAGAAATGTGCTGTGAAATCGTGGGAAAAAATTGCATACCATTCTTAATACGGCTCTTTTATATTCCCAGATGTTCCATTGGTAGTCGCGTTGCATATTTTGGGTTATAGGATGAATTTCAGTTTGTACCGCCGAACGCGTTTGTTCTATTTTTGCAGTTTGATCTCTTATTATTAGCCTTAAAAATCCTATATTGATACTGGAAAGAAAACTTTCATCGACTTACAGTTTCGCGTCAGCCAGATTTCTTAAAGTTTGCTCCAAATTAAGGAATTTTATAAGATGGACTTCTCGTCGGGCTAATTCCAATGCTCTGGCCATGCATCTGAAACGGACATCGTGAAGTACAGAGAATCACTACACCCTTTTGAACGGCTCGTATGTGGCTTACTTTTCTGGAGATTTCATAAAAGAAGGCGCAGCTATATTGGATGAAAACGCATAGTTGCCATTTTTGTATCTCATTACTCCTTTTTCAGGTTTTCCTGGCACTAACAATCCATCCGTTTCTATTAAAGTCCAACAGCAAAAACCTCTAAACTAATTGACAAAATTGTTCTGTTTGGTTAATATTTGTTTGGAGGTGTACTCACTTCAAGTTGTTGGTTGTTGTAGTCATGATGAAGTTTTTCGGAAATACTCCCAGGGAATAGTTGTTTGTGGTTTTCGTTTTTAATAATTGTCCAACTAGCGTCTTTAATGTCCAAATTCAGGATGTTTACATCAAACTGCATGGAAAATACCATTCTGTGTTGACTATTAAACGAGTTATATATTTCTTTGAGTCGGATTCCGTGGTCTTGCCACTTTGTCCAGATATTGTGCAATGTTTTAAAGTGTGGCTGAAAATTTTTACTTTTGTGAGCACTCCCCGCCTTTATTCGAAATATACTTACAAATACTTGGCCAACAGCTTGATGGAGTTTTGGGATCACAACTGCGTTCAACCGGTTTACAGTTTCTTCAAATTCTTGAAACAAAATGCCCCTCATGGTTTCCAAGTTCTTCAAATATGATATTAAACTTCTAAAAATGTTTTGTGCAATTTTTATTGCTTCGAATATATTATTTTTTAATTAATTTTAATTTTTTTCTTATTTTTTTTTTAAGCGGTATTCCCATTTGAAATTTTCAGAATGTAGTAAGAATAAAAAGATAAAATCACGCAATGTTCAAATCTTACCTGAAGTTTTCGCATGCTTGTCTGTAAACTAAAATAAGCTCCTTCAAGTAAAAAAAATCATTTTTCTTCTTAACCCCAATCAGTTTCAAGCCATATCCGTCCCTAATTCGCGTATATTGTATATTTGTCAAGGCATACTGAGTCAATAGTTGTGCACGGTATTCCATTATTTCTAAAGTGGTTTCGATATTACTTTTAATTGCCAGGATTCCATTTTGTAGAAGCGAAGGCACTAAAATATGTTAAAGTAGTCTACAGAATTGCCGATATAGGTATCCATCGCCTGTCCTCACTTTTGATTAGTTTTGTGGTAGTTGCAGTAGATCGAAAGAAGGAAGACTTTGGCATAGCTGGACGTCACATCATAAAATAGCAATGTTTGCAAGTTTCAATTTAGTTTTATTCAATATCAATCCTTTGACCCAGGCAACACCACTAAAGTAAATGTTTGACTAAATCGAAGTATAGGACAAATCATTGTACAGGGTGGCCAATATATCAAGTTTCTAGGAAAATTTCGTATTTAATGTTCAAGACCTATGTCTAATGGTTTTTGATATATTTAAGTTTTTATCTCAAATATGTCATTTGCAAGCACTAAGAAAAATACTAATTTTTGATAACTAAGAATACAGGGTGTTCAAAAAGTAAGATTAAATACTAAATCGAGAAAACTTAGAAAAATCATTTTTTTAAATAAAAACCCCCAAATCTTATAATTTGATCTTATTTACCATTATAAATAATGATAAGTTTGTATAAAGTTGTCTTTGCTGAAAATGTTTAGCTTTCGAAAGACTGACAACACCGAGTGCCCTGCATACGCAAAAATATAACAAAACTTCGTTTCAAACCAGATGACTTTTGTTTTTAAGATTGTCTCGTACACCCTGTATATTATGAGGTAAGGTATAGGTTACCTTATGTTGACCACTCCGTACTCCTTAGATAAATGAATAGAATAGAATACGGATTTACAGTTTGGTATGCCTTGTCCTCCTTTTTCGCATTTTTGATTATAGAGTCGTATTCCGGTTGTAAGTTGCAATAGGGTATATATTGTTTCACGTCGAACGATGTGAAGGAGAGTTGGAAATGCTCTTATTTCCTCCGACTTCAGGATGCTCTTCAGCACGCGATGAACTTCTCGATATACCTTGAAATCAATATGAAATGGTTAATATGATGGGACGCAAATCTAACATGTATTATAATTTTGTGAATTCATTTTATTGGTCGGAAGCTCTTTCCCGGTAATTCACTTTACTTCAATAAAAAATACTATTTCGGATACACAATAACAATATAAACATTTTAACGATTTTTGAAGATGAAGAATGAATGAAGAAACACTAACAATCCATTCTTGTTTTTTACGGGAAAATGGTGCGTCGAGAGATAAAATTTACTCCAAATGAATGTGAATATATTTTTGGACTAACTGGTGGGGTTAAAAAGTATTTAGTCTAAACTAAAAATTTGATAAACATATGTTAAGTAATGAAATATAACATAGGAAGATATAAAAATAGTCATTTTTTTAGCACTCTCGCACCTTTAATTTTTTTTTAAATACGTGAAGAATTGGCCTGGCAAATGCCGGACATTTATTTAAAAAAAAACACTCCGTGTGTGTTGGTGACTTGTTGGCTTGCACTCGTAAGTATAAAAAAAAACCAAAAAACTCGCTAGAATTTATTAGAATTACAATGGATTCCAAAAAGAGTTTGTTAGTCATAATTTCAAAAACTCCCTAACGATCCTGCAACCCCTAAAAACATCTTTCGGCTAGTCATAACGTTCGATGATCTGTAATTTCAGCGCCGATGTTCTTTGTAAACTTTAATTGTGAGAAAACCTAATAGAAAAAGTCTAAAGGAATGGCGTCTTGCGATCTTGGTAGTCACCATTCCTGAATAAGAATGTCACCTGAGAATACCATTTAATAAGTGTGTTGTTTTAATGGCTCTATAAGTTTCTGCGAACAAAATTTTAATTTGCAAGTCAACTGATACTAAATGTTAGTATTTTTTTAATGCAATGTACGAAAATGTACTTACTAGTTTCTCTTTAGGATTTCCAAGTCCAGACGCAATCGTTATGTAATAGACAACCCTTCTCAAGAATTCTTTTTCTTGCAAAGGCCGTTCAGGCTCAATAATAGCCATTATCAAAGAGTATAACCGGTCATCTAAATATTTGCGATATTTTCTTACAGCTTGCTCTGCCGAATCAAAGGAAATCTCAAATGTGTGCTGAAGTTTGAGAGTTGCAATTCTAGGGTCGTTCGTGTTTCTCATTCGAGCCACGACATATTTTATAAATTGTTGAATTTGCTCCCGCTTGTGCAGCAAGTCTTTTTTCAAACCTCTATTCGGATCTAGTTTAAGTAAATTTACCTGAAACGCGAGCTGTACCATACGTCAAAATATTGACTGAAATTTTACATAGTAAGATGCGAAATCGGCATCCACTTCTACGTGGTGGTACTGACATTCTCGTATAACTTCGCGAACTATATTTTTGATGAGATGAATTTCTTCTTGTTCCTTATTCATTTTAAAATTTCGTTTCTCCCTTAACCTTGCCCAAATTGCCCAACTTTTTCATGCGTTCATTAGAATTTTTTTGAGGAAATTTATTAGAATTTCGGGTTTCACTTTCGGTGCAACTTATTCGTTTGGCACCTGAAAATAAATTTATCCGCCTTACGCTACTGTATCGATAGCATTAAAATTATCGACATTTGACAAAATTTATTTTTTATTTATTGTCAAAGTTTGGGTTGACAGTAAAAGTGGATGATTGTTTAAAAACTGGTAATCAGCGAGCAAAGTATTAAAAGAAATATTCCTTAGTAAAATTCTCGTATCTCAGATAAAAAATCTCTTAGGGGACAGGATTTTGTAGGTGTTGTTTTGACATTCCGACAATAGAAGTTTCTAGTTTGATGACTAGTCCACCGCTTTGATGTTTTCTTGGGTCCTATATTTTACAAATCTTTTGGTTCCAGTCATTGAGCTTGAGATGGTTTTACGGCTCTGTAAGCAAAAGACATGATAACCGATGCCTTTTGGCCCGATGGTGATATGAAAATGATTGATTGACCCAATGTTAAGCCTGATTTTCTATTAATAAGAATATATAAGAATGGGGATTATTATTAGGTTTTAAGTCAACGATAAAACGTGCGTTAGGGTGTATTAAGTTTAATGGGTTAGGAAAATCTCGTCTATGAGGTCAAATAATAATATTGGGTTGTTCGGAAAGTCATTTCGTTTTTTTTGGGGAACATGAAAGACAGTTTTCGTATAATGAATAAATATTTTATTAAATTATATATTGGCCATTCTGATCCAACACCTTTTGCCATCTTTCTGGCAGTAACATAATTCCCCTCTCATAAAAGTTTTGGTCCTTGCTGGCAAAATACTGGTTCAGGTGGTTTTTGACATCTTCATTTGAGGTAAAGGTTTTGCCATCCAAAAAATTTTGCAGGGACCGGAACAAATAGTAGTCGGAAGGCGCCAGATCTGGAGAATATGGTGAATGTTGCAGTACGTCCCATTCAAGCTGTAAAAGTTTTTGGCGAGTGACCAAACTTGGGTGAGGTCTCGCATTATCCTGGTGGAACACTACACCCTTCCTGTTGATTAATTCGGGCCTCTTCTCTTTAAGTGAATCATTCAATTTGTCCAGTTGATGACAATAGACTTCTGAATTAATCGTTGTATTGTCCGGCAAAAGCTCAAAAAAAACGATTCCTTTGACATCCCACCAAACGGAGAGCATCACCTTTTTTTGGTGAATGTTGGCTTTTGACACGCTTTGAGCCGGTTCATCTTTTCGGCTCCATGACCTGTTGCATTTAACATTGTCGTATACAACCCATTTTTCGTCCCCAGTAATAATCCGCTTCAAAAATGAATCATTTTCTTGACGTTTGAGGAGCGAATCACACACGTCAACGCGACGACACAAATTTCGCTCCGTAAGGACATGGGGCACCCACAGATCGAGCTTCGAGGTTAAGCCCATGCCTTTCAAATGGCCATAAACAGTCGAATTCGACAAATTTAATCTCTCACCGATCTCTCGTGTGGTTATTCGCCGATTTGCATCAACTAATGCCTTTATCGCATCTTTGTCAGCTTCGACCGGCCTTCCAGACCGTGGTGCATCTTCGACATCAAAATTGCCGGATCGAAATTTTGCAAACCAGTTCTGGCACTGGCGTACTGTTAACACGCCTTCTCCATACACATCCGTCAATTTTTTTCTCGCTTGGACAGCATTTTTACCTTTTCTGAAATAAAAAAGTAAAATATGACGAAAATGCTGCTTATTGCTCTCCATATTTAAAAGGGCACCAACCAAAAACTACTGCGTAGAATTAATAGAACTTTTTCACACACAAGCCTTGCAATATCAGCTCTCAAGACATATAACGGTTATGCGGCTTAAGTGTGAAGTTGGTTTCGAAAAAACGTAATTAAGTCCTCTGACGGGAAAAAACGAAATGACTTTCCGAACAACCTTATAGTATTATCTTAGTTTTGGTTTTAGATAGCTCTTCCTGATATTGTTCAACCTTTACTAGAAAAAGATTTTCCAGACAACCATTTTTAAATTGAGATGAAAAGATTTAATTCCATATCGTTAGGTTCTGATTTAATGGTTTTTATTTGCTCAACGGAGTGAAAGCAATTAACTACTAAACTGTCAGTTTTCCTTGTAAAGACAAGGAAATTTAGAAGCTAGATATTTTGCTCCTCCAACCTATTCTCTAGGCGAATTATTTAATGCCGCTTTAGTCACGACTCCTGATCAAACGAGTGACTGAAGAAGTTAAATGAGTTGCATACCATACCTTTTTTACGACCATTTTTGGCAAAACAATATTCTTTGGACGTGACTATCAGAGCTGCTAAACGTTAAAATACCATTCGTAGCTACAATGTACCAAAAACATCAGTTCGCTGACTCATGTACAGGAAACATCCGAAGTGGCTCGCGACTGCGACTAACAAAGCTGACTTCTTAAAGTGACACTTTACATACGCTGGATTTTTGTATAATTGATTATTTTAGTATGATTCGAAAAAATAATTTATTTATATAATTAATACATTCATGTTTTTATTTTAATGATTTTAATATAATGTTTTTTATTTTGTCATCATGTTTTCTACATGATCAGTGGTTTGTTCTATAGGTAAACTTTCTTCCCATCATGTGTTTCTTAAATATTGTGTTTTTAGTTTATTTTGTATTGGCGAATTATTGTAAAATTTATATATTTTTTTTACTCCCTCCTTTACCTAAGGGTCCACCGATCTAGCGTGTGCAAAATGTCAGTTTACGACGTCAGGTCCTTTAGCTATGGTCGCGAGTAGTTGGAACTCGTGACCACTTCCTTATTGACCTGCCAATTGACCAATTCCTAGCTGACTAGTGTTATCTATCATTATTTAATAATAATATCGACTCCATTTGGTCCTCAGAACGATGCGACAGCGACGTAACGTACAATATAACTAAATATAAATATCATGGTATTTTAGAAATGATTTCGGTCAATTGACAGATCAATTGACACAAAAAAAAAATGACCTTTTAATTCCACAACCCTAGTAGCGAGTCACTTCGGACGTTGTCAGGGCACGCCAGACACCACTCAGTGAATGTATCCGTGCTGTTTTGCAAAATCAATCTTGAGTGCCAAATCAAACTCGTGACTACAGTGGCGTGTATCAATCTTGTTGCGTAATGGAGTTATTTAAAAATTAAATTGCATTGCAAGTTATTACTGCAATGATCTTAAAAATATCTGGAATATTGAAACCGACCAGACTGGAATAAAATCATTAAATCATGGAGGCTGGTAGATGCATGACCAATAGAAGCTCATTAAAAATTGCTCTAGAGGCGCACATGTTCTAACCGAAATTGTATCTTATTAAATTAATAAATTAAACTGTGTTGATGTGTGTTTTGTTGTTGGCTGTGTAAGCTTGTGTAAAATATGTTGATTTTTGCTCTAATGGGCGATTTTCGAATCCCGATGCTGTATACGTCGGAGCGCGCTGGCTTCACACGCACAGAGTTAATGCGTTAGTCGTGTAGGGATCAGGGCTAGATCCCGTCGTGTCTCTCTTTGAAACCCGCTTGTAATGACGGAATTGATGGAAGTAAACCCGGGGACTGAGATTAAGCGGGACAGTCGTACACTATCTGCTCCTAAGCTGGTCTCCGCGTAGTAATTATGCCCGCTTCTAATCATCAATTCACACGTAATGACCGCTGTAAATCATTTAGTGTTAATGTTCACTTAGAACGAGCCAAGCGGGTCGATACAGTAAGCCGCTAATCATGAGGAGGTATTAGGCCAGCGGTCTCCCGGTAAATAGATTTAACAGATTTAGTCTTGGAAGGCGTCTAGTCCGTTCGCCTTGATTCCAATTATTAAGTGTGACGCCATAATTATACGGGATGGGGTTGTGGAATTTCAAAACACCGTACCTCGTCGTACCTCTACAAGTTTTTTTTTTGGTCCGTTTTCTAAATCTAAATTGAATTTCTAAAAGCTTAATTAACAATGTAACATTGATTCGAAATATTTCGATCCAAACAATTAACATTACTCCAAATAGCGCATTAACGAATGTGATCGTTTTTATTAAATATAACAAAAATATATAGTATGCGTGAAAGAAACAGAGCAAGTTTGCATTTAGTCAAAAACGAATACCAATTTGGATTTGATTTGTGGGAGAAGTTTTTTGTACGGAAAGTTAATTTGCAATGCCGAAAAAATTTTTACATAATTATAATATTTAAAACTAAAATATAAAAATATAGATTTATGTAATGAGTTTTATTTCTAACCATTTTATTCATATGTACTGTATTTTTTCCCCCGGCGTACTATACTATTTTCAGCTCTCATTTTCAAAATACTATATTTAATCTGCCCTAAATCGCAAATATGTCTTGCCAAGAAAAAAAATTGAATTGATTTTCAAAATATCTTATTTTCATATTTATTTTATAATTTATAATTTTATCTAAGAGATTTATGTAACAACTCAAGTGTTAAATTATTTTGTAAATTGTCTTTACTGGCAGCAAACTGTCTTTCCTATTGTTTAACGTTAAATTTCTTTTCTTTAATAATTTCTAAACAATTACAATCAGAAAAGTCAATTGCATGTTGATGTCTGCAATGTTAATTTTATTTTGCGCCCATAAATTTTTACATCTCATCATTTTGCGAAGTTAATTTAAAATAATAAATGGCAATTAATTAATATACGATAATCATAATAACTTGTTATGAAATATTATTGTTAATAGGTGTTAATTTATTATCTTTGCGTATTTTTATTTTAGCAGTGTTCTGTGTAAATATGTATTTTTTTGTCAGTACTTGGTATTACTGATACTATTAGTAACTTCATTATAAACGTTCAATTATTTATTGCTAGCTATGTTTTCGCAAAATTGATTAAATTGAAATTGAAGAAAACTAGAACTTTTTGTATGATAGGTACAGTATTCACATTCTTAGATGTGACGCAAAATTAACACGAACTAAATCAAAATATCATTAATTAAATATAATTTTAAATTTCGTGGGAGAAAATGGCAGATAACAACTCGGCAACGCC